ATCCTGGTCAATGGGCTTGGCGCCTTGTCGACCGTCGGCGATGCCACTGGTCGGCGCCACAGGTGACGCCTCAAGGCTCCCCTCATCGCCGGTGGCCGACACAGGTGTCGACGCAGGCCGATCTGTGGCGGGGGAGGGAGGAGCAAGAACAGGGGGAGGCGGAGGAACCTCCACAACATCCTCATCAGCAGGCTCGTCGACTTCGGCGAGCAGTGGGACCGCCGCCGTCGAAGCGTCCTTCGGCGGGTGTGCCTGCGTCCGCCCCGACGCCGGCCCATACTTCGCCTTCCACACCTCCAGCGACAACGTCTCGTAGAAGATCACCTCGACCGACGTGACCACCTTGTTGTCGGTCAGGTCAAGGACCTCCCAGCCCTTGCTCTCTGGCGACACACCCAGGTGAAGTCCCCAGCGAGCCTTCGGCGCCAGCTTCCCACCGCGCTGCTGCTCGGAAAGCATGAACTGCACCATGCAGCCCCACACCCGCGCCAGCGTGAGGTCGGGCTTCTTCCCGGTCAGCAGCTGATACGGTGTCGTTCCCGATGGCGTCGTCGACCGTTCCAAGCAGTTGCGCACCCAGACAGCCTGTCGAAGAGCGAGGTGCCACCAGTGGTGTTGCACGCCCATGTGCAGCAGCATCGTCCGCACTGACTCCACCACCGTGCGCATCTCCCGCTCAGCCATGCCGTTCTGCTGCGGAGTGTAGGGGCATGTCAGGTCGTGGACGATGCCCTTCCCGTCGACGAAGGTGGTGAAATCCTTTCCGAGGAACTCCCCTCCTCGGTCAGAGCGGAGCGACAGCACCGACTTCTTCGTCTGTCGCTCCACCAGCACCAGCCACTTCTCGAACTCCCGCAGCACGTCGCTCTTCTTAGCGACCGGCATTGCCCACACGAAGCGAGTGTGGCGATCCTTCAGGAGCAGGAAGTACAAGCTGCCATCCTTGGCAGCCACCCGAAATGGCCCGCACAAGTCAATTTGTACGACAGCGAGTGCCTCCTCGGCGTCCAAGCCCTTGTCGGGGAAGGTGTGTCGCGCCAGCTTTCCTCCGACGCACGAAACACACGGCGGGTCTGTTCCAGTCGACGGCTTGATGTTGAGCCCAGTAGCAACTCCATGCTTTGCCGAGCGCTTGATCGTGTCGACGCTGACATGAACAAGCCGCGCGTGCAGTCTGTCAGGGGTCATCTCCGTCGCCGGGACGATCGTCCGCAGAGCCACCACCTCGGTCGACGGAGACCGTGTCGAGCAGGGGCGAAGGTCGGTGCAGAGGACTCGGCCGGTGTAGCGTGCTCGACCGAGCACCTCCCCATTCGCGGCGACGAGTAGCATCTCGTCGCCATTGCCCTGCAGCTGCACCCCACTCTCCTTCAGCTGGCCAGAAGATAGCAGGTTTTCCTGTACGCCCGGAACGTAGAGTACGTCGGGGATGAGGACCCGCTTCCCGGCCTCCCCTTGCAGAGCGACGGTTCCACGACCCTCGACAGGCTGCAGCGCCCCGTTGAATCCACGCACGTGTTTCATGCCATCGCTCGGCCCCATGTCGACGAAGACCTCCTTCGTCCCCATCAGGTGGTGGGAGCATCCGCTGTCGAGCAGCACCGCCATCGGGTTGGCCTGCACAGCTGCTGCCACCGCTTGGAAGTCCTCGCCAGCCTCTGGCGCCAGCGAGACTGTCGGCTCCACCACGCCGACCATCGAGCACGACGCCTCCCCGTCGCCTCGGCCCTTGCCGCTGGAGTTGTCGACGTCCTTCGTCGACGACGTCTTCTTCGACGTCTGCTTCTCCTTGCGCAGCTTCTCATCTCGACAAGGGCGACGACTGGCCGATCGACCGCGACCGCCCTTGTCCTCCTCGTCACTCTCATCGCGGTCGGGGCACTCGAAGGAGAGATGGTCGGGGTCGCCACAGATCCAGCACTCCCGCCGTCGACCACCACCTCCACGACCCTTGTCCCGCGTCGACTTCTTCTCGTCGACCTCCTTCTTCGACCGCCCACCTCCGCTAACCCCGCCTCCGCTGGGCTTCCCGCGCTGCTCCTGCTGACGATTCTGCTTCGTCGGTGCAGCGTAACTTGCCTGCGGAAGGAGCTCCGTGGGCTGCTCCGCCCCCTGCATAGCCTCGTCTTGCAGGATGTAGCTGGTGATGGAGTCCTCGTCGAGGGACTCACGTGTGCCAGGCACCATCAACATCCTCGTCATGAGGTTGTAGCTGCGCGGCAGGCCCTTGACGACGTGGGTGATGTAAGACGACGTCGAGTACTCGGCGCCCGCCATCCGCATCTCAGCCAGGATCCGTCGAGCACGGTTGCAGTAGTCTGTCGCTGACTCCTGCTCACCCATCCCAATGTGTGTCATCTTCTCCTCCAGCTGTCCGATGTACAGGTCGTCCTTCACCTGGTACGTCGACAGGATGAAGCGCCATGCCTGGTGACCAGCATCGAGTCGCTCTCGACAGCTCCTGAGCGCTAGCTGCACCACCGGCGAGCAGCACCGCGAGATGACCATGAAGGTGAGTAGGTGAGCAGCACGAAACTCTCTGCGCAGCTCGACATCCTCCTCGGGCGGAATGGGCACGGTGCCGTCGGCGAAGCCCTTCAGCCCGGCAACCTCCAGCTGAGGCTCTATCGACTCCCTCCAGGTGATGAGGTCCCGTCGACCTTGCAGCGGTGCGACGGTGATTCGGTCCGGCGAGAACTTGAAGTAGCCATACGCCGGCGCAATCCCGCCCGCAGTCACATGCGTCGTCGCCGAGAGCCCTCCACCACTTGGTAGAGGAGATCGACGTCGAACATCAACATCGCCACGCGAGCTGCCTGCGGCCGCCGTCGACCGCTGCACCCGCGCCTGTATCCCGTCGACGCCACCGTCGACCTTGATCACCCCTCTCTGCTTCGTGCCTTTCGCTTCCGCTGACTCGTGCACCACCGTCGACCTCGTCGTCGACGCCACCTTCGTTCCGCACTGGTCGAGGAGATGTAGGACGGGAAGGGTGTTTTGTCGCCCACTGCGACCGGATGCCCAACTCGACGATCGCCCAAGGGATCGTCCCGTACTCGCCATCCGCGTGGCGTTTCCTCGCATCAGCCAAGCGTGCCTCCAAGGTGTCCGCTACGCCCGCATCAACTACGGGGTCGACCATGGCGACTAACGCTGCTGCCGGCCTACAAACGACTTAGTAGGTGCAAAAGTCGGCTCCTATCTGAAGGTCGTGTGTTCATTCCACGCTCACCGCACCATGCGGAGAATCACTCTACAATGGTAGTGAGCTAGACTACGGGGGTTGGCACGAACTACTAGGAGTGATCGTAGCTTTGCGTGGATACTTAGTGCTTGCATATTTACGGGAGAAATTGGCAAGAGTTTCCACTAGCAAAGTTGGAATTACAGAATGATTGAACAAGCAATGACAACAATGACTACATCAGGCACCTAGCAACCCTGCAGCTAGCCTGGTCGACCGCCAGCACAGCTTGGTCGACCGCCTGCCAGCGTTGCGTAGAGGAGCCGCGCCAGCACTGCAAGTCGACGGCGTGCCAACGCTGCAGCAGTGCGGCTGTCCAGTGTTGTCCTGTAGAAGACAGCAATGCGCACGCTCGCAGGTGCGCGCAGACGATTGGTCCGACTTGCATTGCTGTGCATTCGTCGGTTGTTGTCTGCGCCTGACGAGCCACATCGACTTTGGGGGACCAGCCCGAAGTCGTCTTCGCCATCGCGGCCTCGACGACGTTCGCGTGCCTCCGCAGAACTCGTCGAGCAGGTTACCCGGTCGACCTGGACACCACCAAGTGCTCTAGTCGAACATCAGTGCCTCTGGTCGACCACCAGGTGCCTCTGGTCGACCACAGCTCCCGTCGAGCTACCCCCTCCGGCGACCAGAACTGTCAGCGGTTGTCGCCGAGCTCCCCTCGTCGACCGCTGCTCACTTGTCAGGTCGACGGCTGCTCCGTCGACCTCCCCGGTCGAACTGTAGATTGACCGGCAGCTTTGTCGACCTCCCGGTCGAACTGTCCCTTCTGGTCGACGACTCACCCGTCGCCCAGACTAGTCCGTTGCAGCTGTCGAGCTCCCTGGTCGACAGCAACACCACAGCGGTCCCCTGCAGCTCGACGTAGCCTGTCGAGCCTGTCGAGCAGCTCTCCCACTGTGAACGGTCGGCTGCTACTCCCGTACCTCCGACCAAGTTGTCGGCGTTGCCCAAGCGAGGGCGGGGCCAACACCTCATACCCGTAAACAACGCAGTGGCGAAGTCAACAAAACCGCCAACCAGCAGCACCTCTCGGCACCTGTGACGGCGGCACCTGCAACACCTGTGGCGCCACAGGCGCCTGACGCCGAGCACGCGCCAGCACCTGTGGCCGGACCGTCGCGTCAGCGCCAGAGAGAGTAAGAGAGAGAGATAGAAAGAGAGAGAGAGAGAGAGAGAGAGAGAGAGAGAGAGAGAGAGAGAGAGAGAGAGAGAGAGAGAGAGAGAGAGAGAGAGAGAGAAGGAGAGGGAGAGAGAGAGAGAGAGAGAGAGAGATAGAGAGAGAGAGAGAGAGAGAGAGAGAGAGATAGAGAGAGAGATCGAGAGACTCTCTAGAGAGAGAGAGGATCACATAGGACTCTTCCCTTAGCCTCTCAGCCCTAGTCCCCTTAGTATAAAGTCCCTAGTGGCTGGTTCCAGAGCTCATTATTCAGTTTGTGTTTGGTTTCTTTCTCCTAATCGAGCGGGAGAGAGAGAGGAGAGAGAGAGAGAGAGAGAGCACATAGGACTCTTCCATTAGCCTCTCAGCCCTAGTCCCCTTAGTATTAAGTCCCTAGTGGCTGGTTCCAGAGCTCATTATTCAGTTTGTGGTTGGTTTCTTTCTCCTAACCGAGCTAATTATTCGGCCGCGCGTGAGGGGATGGCAAGGGAGAAAGGGACAAGCACCTATAATCCAAGACATACACGCAATGGTGTCACCCACACCTGCCTAGGACAACACACGGCAACAAAATGGCGCAGGAAGAGGCGGACGCTACATCTGATCCGCGTCAAGGACGGCGAGAAGACCCATCAGAGAGCGATGAAGCTTGCGCACCACCACTGTGGTTGCGCCGATCAAGTCGACTGCAGTCCCTTCGCGCAAAAACCGGCGCAGCCCACGGACTGCCGTCCCAAGCTGTCCAACGCCCGCAACTCCACCCCGCGCGGGCGCAGCCAACACGGGCGCCAGGAGCTCGCCCAGCCGATCAGCGGCATCTAGGCACTCGTCCCGATGGCCACTGTCTAGAGGAACACCCTCAGCGAGAGCCGCGTGACCATACGCCTGAATCAGGTGAACAGCCCGCAGGCCCTCAGAGAGGCGCCACAGCTACCCCAGAGACGCCTCCGGCACCACAGCGGAAGGAGAGGGCCCCACCAGCGACAGTTGAGGTAGCGGAGCAGCCGGCGGAGCAGGATCGACGGGCAATAGAGATGGATACTGACCCGTCGCGGGTCCCCCTGCCACAGGAGGAACCCACGGCAGGCGCATACGGTTCACGTGTGCAGCAGCAGATGCAGAGTGAACATGAGGAGGAGGAACGACCGATTGGGGAAGAGGAGGCGCCGGCGCATAGGGCGCAGCTGGAGGAGGAGACGCATGCGCTGGAGCGACGCGAGGCGAATTGCTCTGGCTCGCCTGCCCGTTCCGCTCCTCGCGCACAGCAGCAGAAACAGCTCGCTGCAGATCGGCCATCGACACCGTCCGATCATACCCCCAGTCACCACCACGCCCGCGCCCTCCCCACCAGCCACCGCGACCACCGCGGGACGCAGCCCAGTTTGCCTGGGAACCACGGCACCGGGGAGAGTCGCGTCGCCGCCGCGTCATCTCTCGCTCGTCACGTGGCTGCCGGCGGCCCGGAGACAGCTGACGCTGAGCAGGGGGAACAGCAGCGAGCGGCGCAGGATCAGGCACCGCCTGGACGTTTGGGAGCGGCACAGATATCGCCGCAGCTGGAGGGGCGGGAGCTTCAACAGGTCCCACCACGAGGGACTGACCGGCAGTGGTGGCAGACACCGCCGGTTGAGACACCACCGGCGCGGCAGAGCCCACGGCGGCGGCCGGCGCAACCGGGGCAGCGGCGACTGGCGGGGCGCCAAGATCAACGGGAGGAACCAGAACAGCAGCATCGGGAGCAGGGGGAACTGGGGCAGCGACAAGAGCAGGGGGAGCCGGAACAGCGGCAGGAGCAGGGGGAGCGGGAGCAGCGGCAGGATCCTGTCCTGCGGGAGCAGCGACAGGAGCAGGGGGAGCCGGACGCTGAGCAGCAGCAACAGGGGCCGAGGACGCAGCCTTCAATGCGGGAGGCAGCGGCGGCTTCAGGGCAGCAGTCTCAGAGGCGGCAACAGGCAGGGACCTTCCGCTCACCGCTGACGCAGCGGCAGCGGGCGATGGCGTCGGCCACGGCTCGCCGGCAATCACCATTGCGAGGGAGAGGACGAGGAGCGGGACGGCGAGGAGGAAACGGGGTTGAAGGGGGTCCGGAGAATGCGTTCCAGTCTGCAGGGCGACGGGCTTTAACACTACTTGATACTGAAAGTAATGAGTGGAATGATCCTTCTTATAGGGAGGAGGCACGTTAAGAGAGCAGCGGCAGCGATGAAGAAGTCGAGGAAGGAGAGAGGGAGCAGTCGAGAGGGAGAAGTGGGAGGAACCAGAGGGGTGCAGTTGGACAACCAGGTTCAAGTGTGGCCCAGAGGGGGGACGAGGGTGAACCGCATGATGGCAATCGTACGGTTGGAATTCCAACCCGGCCGGCCCAAGGAACATCGGGTCGCGCTGAGGGAATGACGAACCGCAGTGCTTTCTCGACTCCAATTCCAACGGGCAGTGGCTTTCCCACGGCTCCTGCCACGCGACCGCGCCCGATTCCCGCGGTCAGTTTTCCCCATCAAAACTCATCTTGAGTACACTTTAGTTAATTTCGTGGGCAGGCGCAAATGTTGTTGTGAATGTTGCACACATCATTTCGTCTTTGTTAGTATCTGTGCGCTGTCATTCATCGTTGTTCATGCAGCGGTTGCTATGATGATGCCACAAAGAAAATATCTTGCCGAGCACGCGTGCACGATTCTACCTCGCGTGACATTCGAGACCCTACAATGTCAGGGTTCTAGTCAATAACAGCGTGCCACCTTGGATTAAATTTGGCAGGTTAAGCACCGTTGCATCCACGCGAGCAACAGTCTGTCCTTCCATCGTCATCACTTCTCCTCGGCTTCCCCCCCGTCAACGTCTCGTGAGCACGCAGTCACCATTTCCACCATCTAGTGAACCAAGGGTTTTGGCGTCAACGAGTAGCCACCATTGTTACTCTAATTTCTGATTCAGCTAAGTCTAGGAGCATAGCTCACTCCCATCCACCCTTGGTGTAACCATCCGCCCCTGCTTACATTCACGCAGTCCCAGTTGGTCAGCGCACGATGACGCAGACTAGATCCGCACGCAACAAGGGCCAACAGGCTGTTAGTAGCCAGCCCGCCGTCGGGCGGGCGAAACGAACAACCCGGGCCAGGCAGGATGCGAGCGGTAGTAAGCTGGCTCCGAGCCCTGAATTCAAGGTCCCGGTTAAATTAGAAGGCGTACAAGTGCTGCCCGAGCCTGACGACATAATATCGAGGTTAGCGAAGGGAGTCCGAGTTCCAGACTGCGCGACCGATAAGCTACCTAGGTCTGTTAAGAGTGCCCATTTTCCTTCCCATGAGATAAAAAACCATCTCGACCAGCGAGCGAAGGTGACTATCATGGATGCCCTCCACATACAGGATGGATACGAGCTGACAACGTCAACCATCGACTTTTACCACATGTGAGTCACGTTCAGGGTGTTCCTTGTTTTACTTACTCATCTTCATCATGTAAACGGTGTGTGTTGTTTGTATTGTTCCAGGGTGTTGAGCCTTCTTCACCAGCAGCTACCTGACGAAAAAAGGTGGCTGGCTCTAGACACGGTCGCCTACCAAACCGTCACCGGGGGACAGGAGCTAGCATGTGGTGTCGATTGCAAATCTCTCTTCGAGCAAGACTACCTGTGCATCGTGGTTTTCACCAAGGGATTCATAAATTGCGGAAAGCAGGGAAATTGTTTGCGACAACCGTGTGTACCGAGAAGCTGCTTGCATAACCTGTCTTCCTCTGCTTTATGGTTTTTTGCAGACTTCCAGTTCATCATTTCAGCCTTGTCGTTGTTAAGGATCCCCGTCTGCTGCTGCTAAATAAGGAGGAATACGATGCCTTGACGCCACCAGTACTGGTAAAAGCAGTACTGTACGACTCAGCACGCTTGCATTTCGACATGTGCGAGGCGGTTTTCACAAACATCAACAAGTGAGTTCACGGTGATTCTTCATTCGTTGGGGCGAGATACTGGTTTTTGTGCACACGTGTCTGCATCGGTTTAATATTCCCCTTTCCCTCGTTTCCCATCCGCAGGCTGCTTATGCGGGCCCTTAAAAAGGCCTACCCTGAGCTGCCATGGGTGGTGGTGACAGAGAGGCTTACTCGCGTTAGCAGTAAGGCGCTTGAAGTGAGTATGCCACACTAGTGTTTGCTGTCTTGATGCAATTAACCTGCAGGACTCGGTTTTCCACGATTTTCTAAACTGGTGTTTCTATTATTTTCATGCTTCTTACTGCAGTACTTCGAGGTACCTCAGCAACAGAACGGTGTGGACTGCGGGGTCTACGTCTGTATGTTCACCAAGGAGCTTGTAGGCCGATGTTTCCAATTCATGGAAGAAGGGATCCCCCATCCACGTTACAGTGCCGCGCAATGCCGGCGTGACATACGTACTCTGATGTGCGAGGCAGGCGATACTCTGCTGGAATCGCTGACACTGAAGGGGGCCGTTATTCCCCCACAGAGTGAGCAGCACGGGGGGGATGAGAGTGATAGCGACGACGTAGTTGAGGAGATCAAGGAGCCAACGGTTAAGGATGTGGCGGCGGAGCAGTGTGTCCATGCTGCACAGCTCAAGCACCTGCATGAAGACGTAGCGTCTCTGAAAGACTCTGTTTACAAGGGAGAGCAGGGGCTCGTCAAAGTGACTGTGACTCTGTCATCACTCTTAACGGCCTTCTAGCAGCTGGCTGCCAGGGTTGGGTTCAAGCTTCCGACGGCTGATCTGGAGGTTTTAAACAGCGACGAACACACCACCTCTACCGCTACAGCCCCTCCGGTCCCTCGTACGGCCAGCGCATCTTTAGAAGCTCCTCTGAGCAGGAGTGGTGCTGCCCACGCGTCCACTGCCGGTCCGTCACATGCGCGTCCACCAATTTCCGCGACAAATCCGGTTGATGCAGCATGTGTTACTACAGCAGCAGCGGGCCTGCCAGGTGTCGCTGATGGTGCTCTGCCAGCTGCAGCGGCGCAGCCAGGTGCACCTGCAGGTGCTCTTCCATCTGTTCCAGGTCAGCCAGGTGCCTATGCCGGCGTTCGGGCAACTGGGGCTGGACAGCCAGGTCCAACAGCAGTTATGACAGCATCTCCAGGAAGTCTGCCAGGTGCACTTCCTGCAGCTGCTGCTGGTCAGACAGGTGCAGCAGGCGGTGTTCTTACCGTACCGACTGGTCAGACAGGTGCAGCAGCCGGGGAGACTACCATGCCGACTGGTCAGACATGTGCAGCAGCCGGGGCTCCTACTGTACCGACTGGTCAGACAGGTGCAGCAGCCCATGTTCCTACCGCCTGTACGGGTCAGACAGGTGCAGCCGCCGGTGTACCAACAGCAGCCGCGGGTCAGCCAGGTCCAGCAGCCGGTATTCCTACAGCATCGGCCGTTCACGCAACTGGAGCAGCCGGTGTTCCGGCAACAGCCGCGGGCCCGCCAGGTGCAGCAGCCGATGTGCCGGCACCGGCCGCGGGTCCGCCAGGTGGAGCAGCCGGTGTTCCGACAGCAGCGACTGGTCAGCCACCTGCAGGCCTTGGTGTTCCGACATCGGCCGCGTGTCAGCCAGGAGCTGCAGGCATTGCTCCGACGCCTGCTCATGCGCTGCCAGACGCAACTGCGTGGGATCCAGTGTCATATGCGCTCGGTTCAACTGCGTGGGCCCCTGGAGTAGAGGCACAGGCTCAAGGTGCCACGGGGCAGCCTATCAACGCAGCTGTGGTTCAGTCTAGAAACGATGAGTGGGACCTAGTGGGACCGCACACGGAACTCACCACGTTTCACAGAGGTGTGCAGGTCCGGGCTGCTAGGGTCGGAAGCGCCGGCGGACACTGCAAGGGCACCTGCTGGTCAAACGGGTTCTTCTGCATGGTCTTCGGGGGAACAGTTTTTTGCCCCCTGTGCCTTTCCACCCGGCGCGCAATTGCAGGGAGCACGCGCACCATCTGCGGTGGGGTTTGCGCAGCATGCAGGTGCTGTTCAATCGGTGGCCTCAGCATCCGCCGCACCATCATGGCCGATTGGCCATGCTCAGCAACCTCCAAACGTGGTTTACCTCGGATCTGGACAGCCGCACGCCTTCGTGCATCTGCCACTGTCGACGCATCGCCCCCCGCTGCATTACTCTGCTACTTTCCTCGTCTATGATGAGGCGCTCGATAATGCCAGCCAGCTACCTGGTCACACATCTGCCTCCCGTGGTCGGGTTCTATCGAGCATGCTGTCCGGTTACCTGCAGGGGTCCCACCAGGTACTGCCCTCGCCAGCAGTCTCCACATCTGTGGTGCCCTCGACCCAGGGAGGGGAGAACGGTGAAGTGGCCGGCACAAGGGGGTGGACGGGCGTCACAAAGAAGCTGGACATTACTATTAGTAAACAACGGCGCGTGACAAACTACTACTGTGAAACGTTACCTGTCCTCCATCCAATTACACGGGGGGTGAGCCCTCGGGGCAATCCAAAAAAAAAAAAACAAGAAAGGGTTTAGAGTAGTAACCCAACTGCCGAGAACGTCGGGTTTAGGTGAGGAGCTCACGAGATACTTACCACGAAATAACCACGATCCCCCAAGAATGCAGCAAGCAGGCCGTAAACACTCGAGACAAACAGCAGCGCGAATGCTGTCGGTGCCACGTGTGTGTGCCGTTTGTACATCGAGACCACCTGGTACACCATTAGGGACCCACGTGTCACATGCCTTCAAGAAGTGGGTGCATCGTAAATGTTTCGTAATAGCCTAGTAAAGACCAAGTACCAAAACAGTACGTGACAACTAAAGTCCCCGTGGAAACTCTCGCAATAAGCGAACCTAGACATGACTAGAGTAAGTTAATTAATGCCTCAGTAATCTAACTACTTGCAAAACTTTTTAAAAATATATATATAATGTGACCAGCCCGACCAGATAAGAAAAATCAACCGGACCGCGATTTCAAGTTTTCAGGCGAGTGAGTGGGGCGAAACGTGATGCAGTCGCGTCCAAGAAATCGTCTTCGAGTGAACATAAGTTTGAGGTCCCCGTAACAGCTGACGTGGAGAAGAGGCCGCCTGAACCCGACGACATAGTGTCCCTTTTTGCGAAATCGGTGCCTGGGACGTCTAAGGGTAGCGGTGTACTTCCGCCCACGTTGACTAGCGAGCACTTTCCAACGCCATTGATCACGAATCAGATTGGGCAGAGCGCTAACGTGCTGATGGTTGATGCTCTTGGCATTAGAGACGGTTTTGAGATTCAGCCGACAACCATTGACTTCCACAGCGTGTGAGTACTCTACGCGTACACGGACGTCGTGGTTTGGATAAACTTTCGGGAGCTAATGTAATTACCCTATTACCCGCAGCGTTCTGAGTATCATGCACCCTCAACTACCAATGGGGAGGACGTGGGTTGCACTGGCAACCCCAGCGTACCGGTCGGCTAGTAGCGAGCATCTCAATTGCGGCATATGAAGCGAGACCTTGTTCACAATCGACTACATATGCATTGTGGTATTAACCGAGTGAGTAGGGCTTGTTTAGCAGGGCGGGATCATTACCGAATGTATGGATGCTCATGTTTATAAGTTTGAATCTGTGCTACAGGCACCCTCGGCCGAAACACGCAAGCCTGGTCGCCGTGAAGGACCTTGGGTTGCTGTTGAAGTCCGATGAAGAGCTTGGAGTACTTGGCGCTGAGGGTCCTCAGGTGGTGCTCTTTGATTCTACTCGGACCCACGTCGCCATGTCTAGCGATGTCTTCCGACACATAAACTGGTAAGTCCTTGCGCCCTTCCCATGGTAAGTTGTTTGTCATTTACACACATGCTGGGCCTCTTGAGATGATGAGTCAACGTGTGACCTGGCACGTGAGTGCGGGCTATTGGGAGCGGCGCTTTCACAGGCGAGGCCCGGACTCAGTGCGTCCGAGGTGACCAATCGTCTCCGTTGAATCCACAGCCGGGCACTGCTCGTAAGTGAACCGGCATGTTGCATATGGGTGTCCGACATTTCCTTGATTGCTCCCTCTGTATGACCACCCATCCATATATTGTTGACGAGTGTGTTCCTACATGTGCAGGCCAGCCAAGTACCTCAACAGGACTACAACGTGGACTCGGGCGTATTCGTGTGCTTGTTTGTGTGGGAACTTGTCGCCCGGTCTTTTAGGAACTTAGAGCGGGGCATCCCATCACCCTCGTACAGCATTGTGACCTTTCGGCGCGCCATTAGATCCTTGATGTGTGATGCCGGGGAGCAGACGCTAGCGGAGAAGTTGCACAACAAAACGGTGATATTTCGACCTCATGACCGTCCAACATTGGGGAATGATAACATCCACACAGTGCAGCCCATTTTGGACAGCATATCGGCGATGAGAAGGATGACCGCTGAATGACGCAGTCAAGAGAGTCGCCTAGCCGACGTAGAAGGCGGCATGGATGCTATGAAGCAATTGATTGTGAAGACGCATGACATATGCGACACCATGGCCTCGGCGGTGTCAGCGCTACAGTTGCCGGGCGGTTCTGCACTCTTGCATGATGAGCCCATGGTTGTGGAAGACCGTGCTGAGATCATCGGAGGTGGCTCCCCGCCCCGGCGAAAGTCTGCGAATCAGTCTTCCCGAAAGAAGCCCAAGGAGATCAAGGGGAGATTCGTGGGTATTACCCAACGGCCTTGGAATGGGCGATGGGTTGCTAGACTAGTTTGCGACCGGGTGAAAGAAGGGCACATCGTTATTGGCAGCCAGTTCGGAGATGAGGAAGAAGCCGCGAGATCACTTGCTGCTGGATCACATGTGCTATTTGGGCCGCACAATGGACCCCGTGGGAGAATAATAGGACTGTCTGTTGAAGATAAGGACAGGTTGAAGGACTGTCCTAAGGACGCATGCTTGGCTATGATCAAGAAAGTTCTGGCACCGGTGGGAGAACTGGAGGGAGGCCTGGCCGGAATGCCTTAGTTTGATGGAGGCACGGAGGGCGGCTGATATGGTGTCGGTAGATCCGGGAGCTTCGTCTCAGTCGCAGTGTCAGCGCAAATCAAAGCGAACGAGACAGACACAGAATTAGCCATCGGGTGTTTCACGGTCTGTTCTGTAAGTGGTTTTATTCGTGAGACGCCATTTTATTCCAAACGGTTAAACTATTATTGCCTAGTGGTGCTTGCTAGGCTTGTGGGGGTTTCCTTGGCTTTGTCAGCACACATTGTGCTGATGTGGTCTAAAATCGAGCCCCGTTGATATCTATTTGTGCGAGAGTGTAACAACGTGTGATAGGGCTTGTTGGTAAAGGACCAAATAATCCCGCAACACTTGGTCTTGTTTCATTGACTATTTACTAGCTTTCCACTGTCGATCGGTCACCAGCCAGTGCGTCTTTCTTTGAGTCAGCACGGGGTATTCGCGTGCTAGTCTTGAGCACACGAGTGGTTGACTACCGGGTGTGCTAGCCGATAGCATGCCATGACTGGGGGTTCACGGATTGTGGTTGGGTGGAGTCAAGCACCCCAAACCGGACACACGCGATGTTCTCAACAGCTGTTCACGAGCAATCCACTGGCTTGTCACGTGCCATTTACTCCATCGTCAGGAAACTGCGCCAAACGTCAAACACAACAATCATCTTGCGGAGTGTTGACGGGCCAGTCGTGAGATCATGGTGAAATTTCATACAAAACGAGGCGAAGATGAGGCTGTGCGCTGAATGCGTGTTGACTGGATTTCACTTTAGGTTGACGGGCGCTTGATGGTCTAACTCCAAGTTTCAGGCTTATTTTTCTTAATTAATCAGGCTACTACAAGTCGTGTTGCTGCCAAAGCAGTATACTAGTATTAAAGATTCTAACAACGCCGAATTGTTACTAACGCCCACACTACAGCATCTACCCTAACCCAAATGGAAACTACTCTCGTTTATTAACTCGCCACAAATCTCAAATAGTGCCCGCAAAAGGTGCTGACTTGCGATAGGACTTTCGACCCTTTGGGCGCTTACGGTACCTCCTCTTCGCCGGGTATGCGCTGCCACCATACTTGCCCATGCAGCGGTTCTTGTTGTGACCGTGGAGATGGCAAACGCTGCACTTGTACGGATGCACAGCCTTCTCGAAGCGAGCGTAGCTCGGCGGGCGGCCGGCAGCCGTGCGTCGAAAGGGTGGAGCATCGCACACGCCTGGTGCTGCCAGCTTCCTCCCAAGGACGATGCGGTCCACACAGGAACCCCGCACCGTTGAAGAATACGTCTCCGCCCAGTTCTTCGTGGTGTACAAGTCGGAGACGAGGGTGCGCGGTTCAAGCTTGTGCCTCACTGCTAAGGCCACGGCATGGGAGCACGGGAACTGGTACTGGTCCCAATTTGAGCAGTCGCATGTCGGCGCTGCGATGTTGACGTTGAAGGACCTCCATTCCTTGGGATCATCGGTGTCCGTGGTCTGGATGGTTCCTTCCTTTAGATCCCCACCCAATAGCTCGTACCCCTCGGCCCGTGTCCCCTTCTGCACCATCCGCTCCTCTGCCGCTTCCGTCAGTAGAGCAGTTCTCTCCCCAGCAGCCATCTTCCGTTCACAATACCTATCCTGATACCAGTCCCAAAGACCCCCGAGGAGAGGGGTGACCGGCACGCGACGGATGGGGATGATTGAGCTGTTGACCTGCTCGGCCGCGTTGCTCGTGAAGATCCTGAAGCGTCGGGTTGGGGCCTCAATGCGAGTCCAGTGGACGAGGTTGATGCCCAACTTCTTTCTGGTACCACGCTTGTTCTGCCTAAACCCGGTACGGACACGTGTAGTGTTGTCCCCAGCCGCGATACCGGCCTCTCGAGTGTCATCAGGGAACTCATCAGCGGCAGCCTGGTACCCCTCTGTTGTGGCTGGGTCATCCGCATCCGCTGCTCCGGCCTCCTCTGCATCTGCCTCCTCCACGTCGTCCTCCTCAATGTCGGCTTCAAGGTTAACCCGGGGGTTGCCCAAACCGACATCTGGCCACGGGTGGTCGAGAGTGACGACGACCAATGCCTGGCATGTGTTTCCCCCCCCCAGGCTGCTCCGCTCCCCCTTGGCAAGAGTCTCCGCATGATCCTGTTGCACGTGGCGGGTCCGTCCGTATGCTGCTAGGGATGTAACCCGTCCTAACGAGACGCAGGATGCGAGCATAGTCGAATGGACGTGAAGCTGCTGGAGTCGAGCGTGAAGGACGACTGGGCGGCTCGTTCGTGGCAGGGCACTCGGCCGGCTCCTCCATAGGGGCAGAAGTGCTTGCAGTCGGTGCAGGTCCAGGTTCAGTCGCAGTGGCTCCCGGCCCGCTCGCGGCACCCGCCCCACGCCCATGCGCCCGTGAAGTGGTGGCGCGACCCATGGCAGCACGGGCTGCTTCACGACCCTGTCGGCGGTTTTCGGCTGCGTGTTGACGTGCTTCGGCTGTTGTTGTGGGAGCGGGACGTTGCGGTTCATTAGCATCCGCCGGTGATGGAACCGTGGCCGGCTTCTCGATGACGAGGAGATAGTTCGCCATTTGCTCGAAGTCACGGCGGCATGCTGCGACCAAGGCATCCCATTTGTCGCGGTCCCTGCATTTCACAAGATGCCAATAGAAAAGAGCAGCAGCCTCACCAAACTTCACAACATTCTGATGGAGATGCCACGCACAAAAGTAGTGAGGGATGCCAATCGGGAGTACATCCCGTGCAGCAGGAATCACGCCCTTGTCACGGTCGCTGATAATGGACGCATCATCACGGTGCGGCCACTCCGGGAAGCTCTCCATAAAGAGTTGCAGGAACCAGGTCCACGAATCCTTGTTCTCTCCTTCGACCAGAGCCCACGCCAGCATCAGAATCTTCTGGTTACCGTCGAGGACCACGGTATGAGCAGATTTGCGCGTTGTGCACTGATTAGGAACGTCCCGTCTAGTGCAACAACTGGGCGGCAAAAACCAAGTGCACCGCGTGATGCGGACGGCTGAATGTACATGCGGTTGAAACAGCCGTCTACTGTCTGAATCTTGAAGTTTCCAGCTGGATCTATCTCCTTGAACCTTGCAGCCAGCGCCGGCAGCAACCTGAACGACTCTTGCCAGTCCCCGTACATCTCCTTCTGGATTGCCTCACGCAGCCACCACGCCTGCTTGTAAATGATCCGAAACTTGCTGTGGGTCGTGAGAAGCTGCTGCAAAATCTTCGCCGAAATGAACGGAGCGCCACGAACTAGGTTGCCCCATTGACGCTTCATGACCTTGACGCTGTTGGCGAGGGCGTTTGCTCCTTGCTCTTGCTTGAATTTGCTGCAGATGTGTGTTTCAGGCGGGGAAAGTGACGTCACCATCCAGAATCCGTCGTGAACTACTTTACTGTAGCTACATTCCCAAGGGCATATGGGCGATTCTCCATGCATGGCAGTTTTGCACTGGAATATCACGTGGGCGTCCGCCACCTCCACAGTCCCGAATCCGAAACAGTGGCGCAACGTGAATGCCTGCACCGCCCTGAGTGACGCATCCCTCGAGGAGTATATTCCACACTGCCTCAATGGGGCATTATCTCTAGGTGGTTTTGGTTGTGCTGGCGGTACGGGGGGAACGTTCCGCATTGCCTCTAAGATACTATTCGCTATTCGCTCGGCACGTTCAGGTGGTTCCAACATGTTTGCTGCAGTGTCCTGAAACCTGATCGTCACATCTAATGGAAGAGCTAGGGCCTGGCAGTCGTAAACAACTATGAAAGGCCCACCATCTAATAGTACAGTCATGACCTGGCATACGTAACAACTTTGAAGGCACCGAGCAATCAGTTATGGACGATGGTGTTGAGTAAACGGTAAGTTCATGAGTACCTTGCTGCACATCAGTGAAATCGGGGTCTAAAGGTGGCGCGAATGTGAAATCCTCGGCGGGAAACTGTGCGCGCGAGTCAGAGGCAGCGATTTGGACCTCGAGCACTATCTCACGGGCCATTCGTGAGGCCTTTGTGTTGCCATAACGACATTGGCTGGACTGTAAATACTGTCGGTGAATTCCACGCGCGCGAAAATCTGCGGCCTAAGCTGTTGGAGGTTTTTCACGTGTAATTTACGGGCCACGCAGTGAACGTGAGTGGCGGGAGAATTGAGCGTCCGTTAAAGAAGCACAGTGTTTCCGTGTTTGGAGAAGTGAATCTCCTTGAAATCATTATTCCACTCTGTTACAAATGCTTCGTGGGCGGCGTAATGATGGTCGGGGAATTGAATTGTTATTCTTGTAGTCACGGGCAGAAACCGTGAGCCATAATAAAACTCGTAAAAACACACAAGATGAGTTTTGATGGGGAGACCAGACCGCGGGAATTGGGCGCGGTCACGTGGCAGGAGCCGTGGGAAAGCCACTGCCCGTTGGAATTGGAGTCGAGAAAGCACCGCGGTTCGTCATTCCCTCGGTCGCGCTAGCACACACCGGGCCGCACATCGCCAATCCAACGCGCCTCCACAACCACCCCGATATTTTTCGCCAGACGAACTGGCGATGCAGCAGAATCGTTTCGCCGTAGTCGCGACTTGGGATCTCGCGCCTCTCTGCGATAGTCGCCAACCCCCGCTGACACGCCGCATACCGCCAAATCTTTGTGAGCTTTTTGCACTGACTTTGCTGACGCCACTCTTACACCTGTCGCGGAACCCAAATTCCATCGCAGGTTGGCGCCTGTTACTGTTTCTCCCACGCCTAATCCTGCGCCAACCCTCACCAAAGCGTCCTGACTGGGCCAAAATCAGGGCTCGGATTCGATCATTCCAATGTGGCAAATGGGACCAGCTCTACACCGAAGCCACGGAAGCTGTCAACACGCCACCACCGCCCCGTCACCGACCTGACAAAATCGAGGTCATCAGCAGAGCCGAAGGCCTGGCAAAGCGAGGGAGTCTGCGTCGGGCCGTATTGGCCCTCGAGTTAACACCAGTTTGTACCCCCAGCCCCGCCATTCTGACCGAGCTGCGCCAAAAACACCCGCCCGCTAACACCGTGCCTTTGACTTGGCCACCCCACGACCAACCGCACAGCCTCGCCATTTCCCACGCTGACTTCGTCAAATTGCTGAGCCGCTGCGAGAATGGGGTGGGTGCCGGCCCGTCTGGCACCACTTTCGAACACCTGCGCGACATGGCAGTAACAAATGCGTCCGTCTGCACACACCTATACGCATTGGTCAACACAATTTTGGGAGGGAAACTTCCCGAGCCCGTAGCAGAGCTACTCACGTCGTCACGCTTGGTAGCGCTGGCCAAACCAGAGGGGGGCGCCAGACCCATAGCAATAGGCGAGTGCCTGATTCGCCTGGCGGCAAAGGCGGCTCTGACAGTCATAGGAGCAGCTGCACGGGGATTTTTCCTCCCGTTACTGTACGGCGTGGCAGTACCGGGAGGAGCGGAATCAATCATACACACAGCACGTGCTTTCACCGATGCAAGGCCAGATTCACTGATCCTGCAAACGGATTTGAAAAACGTGTTCAACAGTAGCTCCAGCAGGCGATTATAACTGCCTTACAGGACCCGTCCCTGTCGCCTCTGCTGCCGCTAGTTAAGCTAATGTACGGACGGCCGTCGCAACTGCACCTAGACGCCGGCTTCGCTACAGGACCACTTAGCAGCGAGCGCGGGGTACGCCAACGTGACCCCTTGGGGCCTCTACTTTTTGCCGCTGGCATCCACCCTGCGTTGCGAGCGACGGCAGTGGCCCACCCAGATGTTCTGTGCCTCGCTTACGCTGATGATGTCAGCTTCATCGGCAACAAAACTGAAACAGATGCGGCTTTCACACACTTCACCGGCCAGCTAGCAGGACTAGTTTTAGAGCACAACCCCGCGAAATGTGTGGCATGGAGCAGAAATGAGATAACAGACGCGAAAGAGCAGCCGCCAGGGGTGCCATTTACACGTGAGGGAGTTAGACTGCTAGGAAGCTTCTTAGGCACCACAGGAGGCGCCACCTCTTTCCTAACGGAACAACTACGGTCGATGGCGAGGCCCCTCCCGCTACTCGAATGCACGGATCCGCAAATAGCATCACTGCTACTTACACGATGTATCTCGCAACGGGTAGCTTGCCTGACAAGGACAACCCCGCTCAACCTCCTGCCCGGCGAGGCATGGTCACAATGGGGCCAAGACCTGCTCGCCACCCTGCTAGCCGCATGCGGCATACGTTATCCTTCCAGTGAGGCAAAGCAGACGCGGGTTTGGGAGCAGTCTTCCCTGGCGCCGTCACTGGGCGGGATTGGCATTACAGATCCCACCGTAGAGGGCGTGTTCGGTTTCCTTGCTAGTTTCACGCAGGCGTCACTACTGTTGAGCTCCCTGCCGCTGGAACCGGACGACGTGCTGTCCACAGCCAAAAACCACATGTTGCTGCCTAGAGATACAGACACTGCCCTTCACTCTTGGCTGACGGAATGTGCAGCGGCACTGCCGCTTGACGCGAGGGAAATACTGGAGAAGGAGAGGATAGAACCAGCGGGGATAAGGCTGCAGCACGCCCTCTCGGTTCAGGTTCAGGGGAGCGGATACGCAGAGCAGGTCCGGGAGTCACGCCACATGAGACCGAACCCGCTTTGCGGTCACACGCAGCGTCTTTTCTCCCTCACCGGCTACGGTTCTGGCGATTGGCTGCTGGCGATACCGATAGATCCGGTAGGAAGGGAGCACTTTGCAAACGCGGTTCGTTTCCGGCTGGGCCTGCCGTTCGCAACACCGGCAAACTGTGATTGCTCGAAGCACGTCGAGATCACGGACCCGAGACTGCCCAACCACCTCTTTCGCTGCGGTACGGGTAAACACAGGATCAAAACGCACAACGAGCTGAGGGACGCATGCGTCAGCATGGCACGAGACGCAGGCTTCATCGTGCACACAGAGTCAGCAGCCTATTGTCCAGTGGACGAGCAGACGGCGGATCTTATGATGATGGATCGGAGCTCAGGTGCGGTCTACATTTGCGATGTAACCATAACGGACCCGATCAGTACCCGGGATAAGACGGCGGCGAAGGGCAGGGGATGGGCAACAAGGGAGCAGGCGGATAAGAAAATCCAACACTACGCTAGCCGGCCTGACACTGTGGGATTCTTTCCCCTGGCCTTGGAGACGTACGGGTGCCCGTGTGCGGAGGTACCGGTCTTCCTGAAATTGCTGGCGGATTCAGCTGCTAGGCGACACTTCAACGCCGAACCTAACTCCTATACACGCTGCTAGATTCCTCCACCTCTTTCGGCAGAGATGGTCAGTGGCGCTGCAGCGGGCCCAGTCGGTGGGTTACCTCATGAAGTCCTGCCAAGCAGCCATGGCAGAGCACCCACCGGTTGGGGGAACGCAACACGAGCTCCACCTGGGTGATAGCTTTACAGTGATTGAACCCCTAGTGGAAGTGTAAGGGGACAGGCCGCAGGTTCCTTGTTAGTTTGTTTGGTTGTTTTTAGGTTAGTCTCTCCTGGTTGCGTATTTGATAGACCTTGCATTTGTGTACCTCATATGCTATATCAATGCACGGACCATTAGAGAGAGAGAGAGAGAGAGAGAGAGAGAGAGAGAGAGAGAGAGAGAGAGAGAGAGAGAGAGAGAGAGAGGGTGGAGAAATGGAACCACCAATTGGGGGAAGTACCAGCAATGGAAGTCTATGAGCGCTAGACAACGATTTTAGTGGGAGCCATCAAGGAGGTAAAAAAAAAAAAAAAAGGTAATTTCATGTGTTGGATCGTCGTCTACTGCCATGTGCATGCATTCCGACGCATGCCCCGGGGCAGCAAAACGACCCCTTTGAATACGCAATGACGGATAGGACAATTTCCGTCATGCGAGGGCGATTGCGATCCGCGTTGGCTTGGTGGCGTACATGGTGTACGAGCAGTCTTATCTTATCAATGATCGAACGAGGCAGCTGGATGTCATGGAAGCAAGGACCGCCGCAACCATTTCGGTGCTCCAATCATGCCGGAACCCATGCTCACATGGATTTTACACAATCAGCCATAATGGACCTCCTTCAAACCGATGCAGCAATCGAGGTGCCAGCATCGGGGCTGGTATACATCAGTCCCCTCAACGTCGTCGAGCAGCGAGACAAATGT